CAAATAGCAACTTGAAATTTTTATACTTACAAGCTTCAATGAATATTACTAAACTAGAACTGACACCTATTAAAACATTAATCATGTAAGCTAAGCCAACTTTTCGAATAAAGTATAAACCTAAAAGTTTATATATATATATATATATATATATATATATATATATATATATATATATATATATATATATATATATATATAGAGGAGTGATCACATGTGGCCATGTTGTTAGGTGTGGTCATATGGTCAATTATAGACCATTAGATTAGATAGATCTAATGAATCATATTAATCAAGATTTTTTCAGTATTTTCGCGCACATTCTTCTACCCAGCGAACTGTAAGGGTAAACTTGTCATAAAACACCGGAATAAGGAAAATCACATTGTTGTGCGTTTTATTACACTATTGGTGCATGTTGTCAACACTGTTGGTGTATTCTGGAACTCGACCACTATAAATGACCACTGTAATTACCATAACACGGGAATACACCATTGGTGTGTTTCACTGTGGTGTGTTTTATTACACTATTGGTGTATGTTGTCAACACTGTTGGTGTATTCTGGAACCCGCCCGCTATAAATGGTCACTGTAATTACCATAACACCCCCACTTACTAAAACGCGCGAAAATCCTCAGAATTACTACAGCCTTTAGATTAAACTGATTCAACGACACAGATACGACCACACCTAATGACATGACCACATATGAGCGTTTTTCTATATATATATATATATATATATATATATATATATATATATATATATATATATATATATATATATATATATATAGAGGAGTGATCACATGTGGCCATGTTGTTAGGTGTGGTCATATGGTCAATTATAGACCATTAGATTAGATAGATCTAATGAATCATATTAATCAAGATTTTTTCAGTATTTTCGCGCACATTCTTCTACCCAGCGAACTGTAAGGGTAAACTTGTCATAAAACACCGGAATAAGGAAAATCACATTGTTGTGTGTTTTATTACACTATTGGTGCATGTTGTCAACACTGTTGGTGTATTCTGGAACTCGACCGCTATAAATGGCCACTGTAATTACCATAACACGGGAATACACCATTAGTGTGTTCCACTGTGGTGTGTTTTATTACACTATTGGTGTATGTTGTCAACACTGTTGGTGTATTCTGGAACCCGCCCGCTATAAATGGTCACTGTAATTACCATAACACCCCCACTTACTAAAACGCGCGAAAATCCTCAGAATTACCACAGCCTTTAGATTAAACTGATTCAACGACACATATACGACCACACGACCACACCTAATGACATGACCACATATGAGCGTTTTTCTATATATATATATATATATATATATATATATATATATATATATATATATATATATATATATAATTTTAAGTTTATGATAATATAAAACAAATATTATGAATATTGTGCATGACGAAATTGGATGTCTCATTTACTTTTTGCACGTTTTTTAATGAATTAAAGTAAATGTTATGCACTTTCCAATTATGTCCCTCACCTTTTCACTTTTGGAAATAAAAACAATAAAGAAAGCAAAAGCTAGAAGGGTAATTTGAAAAAAGTAGAATGATGGTGATGTTCAATTTTGGAAAGTGGACAACATTTTGGGACAGACTAAAAAGGAAAGTAAGACACATAAAATGGGACAGAGTGAGTATTAAACATAATGCATAGCAGCACTTGTAATGCAATTTTATGTACACTAGTATTTTCACCCGTGCAATGCACGAAATAGAATTGTTGTAATATATTAAAAATATTTAAATCAATATATAATTATTTAAGAGTTAATTTCACCACAGGTTGCTTATCTTTCCTGACAATTCCAAATTTAATCCTAAACTATAGTTATTAATTATTACGATTTATTCTATGTTATAATTCTTGCGTTAATATTCTTACTATTATTATTAACACTTAATTACTTTTAAATATTATTATTACCACTTATATTATTATTATTATATTGTTATTAGTTTCTTTTCAAATTCTGTTAGTATATAATGGCCGTGAGGCACAATAATAATATAACCATAATTAAATATTCTTGTATTGTATTCCGTGAGTCACAACAATTAAATATTCTTCAATTTTATATTCTTCTAGGATTTCTATTAGCATCATTAATTATTCCATAATTATATAATTTGACAAATTATAAAGCATTTTTTTTAGAAATTGGTGGGCCAAACCGCCTACGGCAGTTTGCGGTGGATAGATCTCGAAAAAATACGTGATTTCAATAGGAATTGTATTACACTATTTTATAATATTAGAACAGAATTTTAACCCAGAATTATTATACGAAGGGGAAAGTAGAAATCAATATATTTTATTAGGAAGAGAGATTTTTTAGGAATTGAGGCGGGAAGTTAAAAGTTCAGGATTTTGTTTTTATATATAGTATAGATTACAATAGGAATTGTATTACACTATTTTATAATATTATAATAAAATTTTAACCAAGAATTATTGTACGAATGGGAAAGTAGAAATCAATATATTTTATTAGGAAGAGGAATTTTTTTAGGAATTGGGCGGGAAGTTAAAATTTCAGGATTTTGTTTTTATATATAGTATAGATAGATTACAATAGGAATTGTATTACACTATTTTATAATATTATAATAGAACTTTAACCCAGACTTATGGTACGAATGAGAAAGTAGAAATCAATATATTTTAGTAGGAAGAGAGATTTTTTAGGAATTGTGCTGAAAATTAAAATTTCAGGATTTTGTTTTTATATATAGTATAGATTAAGCTTTATTTTTACAAACATATAAAAGAAATATTATTATTCCAACAAACATATAAAAGAAATATTATGAATCTATTACATAGTGAATGAAAATACATATGATGTACATTTAGCTAGTGTAATGTTTATGTACATTAATGTTTAGATTTATGATTATATAAAAATAAATAGGCACAAGTGTCAAATAGGCCCATCTACTACTGTGAAATGTTCAATTCCCACCACGAACTAAATTAAGTGTCAAATAGGTCCATCTACTAATTAAATTTGTTCAATTAACTTTTTTTACAGGTTACCAACAGGTTATCTATTTATTAATTATTAAAAATAAATAAATAAAATAAAATAATTAAAATTTAAAAAAAAAAAAAAAGATAATAGCCACCGGCTGTCCTCGCTGACAGCCGGTGGCTATTTTTTTTTTAAAATTAATTATTTTATTTATTTATTTATTTATTTAATAATTAATAAATAGGTAACCTGTTGGTAACCTATAAAAAAAAGTTAATTGAACAAATTTAGCGGGTAAATGGGCCTATTTGACACTTAATTTAGTTCATGGTGGGAATTGAGCACTTCGCAGTAGTAGATGGGCCTATTTGACACTTGTGCCAAATAAATATTATGTACAAAGTACAAATTAATGTTATTAAACATGATGTGTATGTAATGTAATATTTATGTACATTATGCTTTATTTTTATGAAAATATAGAAAAAATATTATGAACGTGAATGGAAATGCATATGATGTAGATTTAGGAGGTGTTTGACAATTAGCTAATAGTTGATTGTGTTACTTGGTTTGACCAGTCGATAATATTAGTTTATTATAGAAAGGTGTTTGATAAAGTTATTTATTCTTAACTAATTACATGTAAAATAACCTATAAGGGCATAAGTATATTGTGATACTTTTTTTGCAAGAAGGGGGATACCCTACATATATACACACTACTTGTGTTAAGTGAGGTTCGAACCTATCACCTCTCACTTAAAGGAACAACCCGATACCAATGTATTGTTATTGTTGTGTTATTATTAATTATATTTTATTATTATTAATATTATAACCATAAAGAAATATTTTGTAGTTAATAATTTTTTTTAAATACTCATGATTCTTTAAAAGGTAGTATCTGTTCTATATTTTCTCAAACATTTTGAGCCAAAGAATCTAAGCCCCCACCATGTCACATGGTCCTAGATATACACTACAGTATTAAACATGGTGTATTAATTTATGTATGTTTATGGTGTATTTTTGTAAATATATAGAACAAATATTATGAACATAGTACATGATAATACTATTAAACATGGTGTATTAATTCAATCATTATTGTGTGGACCAAGCTGTATGAACCATGTTTTGTATACTGTAAAATAATGTACATTTAGTACAAAAATAATGTACTTTTAGTATATTAAAAATATATATTGTATTCAGGAGATGTACATTATTTGTGTACTGGGTATTGTATTTAGGAGTTGTACATTATTTGTGTACTGGTGCACATTATATTGTATAATGTACATTCAGTACACAATTAATGTACATTTAGAATATTAAAAATATACTTTTTGTTATGGTTCACAGAACATTATGTAGACCAAATAATTTGCCATATTAATTGACACTTAATATAAAATGACGTCATGTTGGATCAGAGCCCACCATGTCACATGCATGGTCCACGATATAATTTGCCAAAAAAATAGAAAATGATCATTTCTCATAATCAATAATGGAACAGTAATTTGGGACAAATTGGTCCACACAATGCTCCGTGAATTGTAACAAAAGCTACATTTTTTATATACTAGCAATACATTATTCGTGTATTAAATATACATTATATAAAATAATATATTTTTCACTGAATACAATATACCATTTTTAATATACTAAAAGTAAATTATTTAATTGTAAGATCCATATGTGTCCACACAATAATGATCGCTAATTCGGTATGTTAGGTTTTAGTTTTTTCCATTCATGCATCCTTTAGTACAGAAAAGTGATAATATTGTTGAATACTTATTTAGTATTTATAGTATACAAACACACGTGTCTGTATTTAATAGATATGTTTCTTAAATACTGTTAAGAAAAATGCAATACGATTCTTCTTTATTAGATCCGGTGTTATCCAGTGCAGGTTTTTCTGCTATCCCACCATTATTTTCTATATATACTCACCTCATACGTATATACACATTTTACTGAAACCTAAATCTACAGATAAACAAAGTGTTCTTTTTCGTCCCCTTTTCTTCTCACATTCTTGACTCCCTCTCTCCCCAATCTCCTATTCTTTCTTCTATTGTTTGGTTTGATTCCCAGTTCAGCTCATCTCAGCTGGATGTGTTTGACACTCTTTCAGTTGAACTCTTGAGATTCTGTATTTTAGTTGCAGGGGAAAACAAGGGTGAGAAGATGAGGGTGTTGAGTGCCATTGATTGCTCGGATTGCCCAAGTCTGTGTGGGTTCTTGGTTGTTAAATCTTATCCCAAGAGGTATTCTTCCAAGATCCCCTCTGATTTGGTCCTTTTCTTGGGTCTGGGCTTCATAGATTGGTAATATTTGTGTTTACTTTTGGCAAAATAACAGTATACCCATCATTTAGAGATATAAAGATACAGTTTTTATTTATTTATTATACCTAGATGGACTTTGCAAGAATTGATGGGTTTAATTCAGTGTTTTACACATGTCATTAAAGGGTCTTAAGGAGATTCTTGGATTAGGACTGGATTGGATTGTCCATCTAGCTTTTTTGTTTTTAATACATTTTTACTGATATGGGTTGGGATTAGATTTGTTTCTCTGCTGTTCTTTTTCTTGTCTTTTTTCTATTGATTTCTGTTTTTAGTGGATGTCTCATTCTTCTTTTGGGAAAAGAGTTGGGATTCAATCTCCAGGTAACCCTCAAATTGTGTGTTTTCTTCTGAACTGGAATTAGGAATTTCAATTTGGGGGCAATTAGTATGGTGGGTGAAAGTGTAAAGATAGATTAGCCAGTTGTGAGAATGATCTTTGGATTGATACTTTTGAGGGCATCATCTGATAGTGTCCCAGATTCAAGGAAGAATTTGTGAGATGGGAGATACTGTTCTAACAGTTCTGTCATTGGAGAATCATTACCCCTTTTCCATGGATTCTAGCACCTCCTCTTCGCAAGACGATTTAGATTTCGAGATGAATAGACAAGTAGTCTTAGCTCGTCCACCCGACATCAATTTACCGTTATCTGCAGAGCGTAGCCCGACTCCTCAGTTGTCGAATTCGGAGCATAGTGATAGTCTTGATGTTAGGGTAAGAGCCCAAGTTCATGAAACCGAGAATTTCTTCAGTGCGCCTAATAAGGTCAGTAGGAAATGTGCGAAAAGGGGGGACAGCATCTGGGGCGCCTGGCTCTTCTTTAGCTTTTATTTTAGGCCGGTTTTCGTCGAAAAATCGAAGGCGAAAGTTGTGCGGGACTGTAATGGAGCTTCGGGGTTCGATAAATCTGATCTTCAGCTCGATGTTTTCATGGTTCAGCATGATTTGGAGAACATGTACATGTGGGTTTTCAAGGAGAGGCCCGAAAATGCTTTGGGCAAGATGCAACTAAGAAGCTATATGAATGGGCATTCCCGCCAAGGGGAGCGTCCCTTTCCTTTTAGTGCCGACAAGGGTTTTGTTCGATCCCATAGAATGCAACGGAAGCATTATAGGGGCCTTTCGAATCCTCAGTGTGTTCATGGGATCGAGGTTGTCCCCTTACCCAATCTAATGGGTTTAGGCGAAGATGAACGGAGAAGGTGGGTTGAACTTACGGGAAGGGAACTGAATTTCACTATCCCACCCGAAGCAAGTGATTATGGTTCGTGGAGAAACCTGCAAAGCACTGAATTCGAGCTCGAGAAGCAACCTCCATGTCCCAAGGGCAATAACCATTCCCCAACTAAGAAATTGCTTAATGGATCTGGGCTTAATTTGTCCACTCTAACATCCAATCAAAGCAACGGGGATGCCATGGATCTAATAACGCCTGTCAGCTGCAAAAGGAAGGACTTCTTCTCTAACGGGAATGGAGTTGAGTGCCATTTGCAAGCGAATCCTCACTATAGGATCCCAGAGTTCGAAATGCACCCGAATGAGCCACACTGGTTGAATGAATTTAGTGGGATTATAAGGAATGTTTATGGGCCCGTTACAGCTGCAAAGAGCATCTATGAAGACAAGAAAGGGTATTTGATCATAATCAGTTTGCCCTTCGTTGATCTCCGGACAGTGAAAGTCTCTTGGCGGAACACACTCACAAACGGGATAATCAAGGTTTCTTGCTTGAGCACATCTCGCATCCCGTTCATCAAGAGACAGAAACGGACTTTCAAGCTCGTAGATTCATCATCCGAACACTGCCCTCAAGGAGAATTTGTGAGGGAAATCCCGCTCTCAACCCGAATTCCCGAGGGTGCAAACATCGAAGCCTACTTCGATGAATCAGGGACAGCGCTAGAGATTCTGGTGCCTAAACTGCCGGAGGGGCCGGAAGAACATGAAGTACACATTCGACTTCGCCCCGACCTCAGTGCCAATGACTTCATGGCTTTTATGGACCTGGAAGCATAGCTATAGAAATGCTAGTAGTGCATAAAATATGTTTGTTGAGCTAAATATGCAAAAATCTTCTGTTGTGTTGTCTTTCTTCATCTGTGTAGCCTTGGTTGTAACAAGGTCTAACTTATAAAATCTTTGTTCTTGGTTTAGTAACATATTTATGTTCTTGTTTGCAGACAAATGTTTCTGTTAAAATCTTTTAGCCCCTTGTACTACTAATACATTAGAAGCCACCAAAGAGGTGAAAAGGTTTGAATCTTTTAAGTCGCCCATAAAAGATCAATTTGTATTTGTGACTAAAATAAAATTGCAATTGTCATGCGGGGCTAGCTCAAGTGGTAGAACACCTGATCTAAAGTTACCACTCCCACACCAAGGTGGGGGTTCGATTGGCAAATTTTTATGTGGACCGAATATACTAAAAGTATATTATTTGTGTATTAAATGTTCATTATACAAAATAATATATTTCTCCTTAATACAAAGTACTTTTTTAATATATTGAATGTACATTATTTGTATACTAAATGTACATTATTTGATAATATACAAAATAATGCACTTCCCGTACTCAAATAACATACTTTCAAATTGTCAAGCACTTCACTTTGTGTTCAGATGGCACCCCTGTGAGTCACATGATCGAACCCTGGTGGTGGGGTATTGACTATTTGGGTTGCATTGGGCTGCATTAGTTAGAGAAAGTATAAAACAGATACTACCTTGTAATAGAAAATAGTATTTTTTTTTAAAAAAAAAACATACTTTCAAATAATTTACTTTTTATTTATGGTCCACACAATAATAACTGGGTTCGACTCCCACCATCTTGAGGCCAGGGCTGCCCAACCTAGAATTTGGGTCTTTGGGATCTCTAGATTGGAGACTGGACTCCCCAAATTGACGGAAGTGTGGAGATGAATCCCTTGTACACAAAGTCAACAATGGGGAGGCTACTTGGGCAACTCGCAACTTACCTCATGTGGCTTAAGATTAATCTAACATAGGTCGGGAAACCTAATATATAATGTATCAAAAAAAAGTTGCAATCTATACAAATTAAAATATAAGTAATTTTTTTGTGTGTGTGTGTGTAATACACGAGTATCTGTATCTTGCGGGATAAAACTAATTCAGAATTTGATTTTCCCATTGCATACAACTCAAATTAGTTGACACCTTTACATGCCATCAATCATCATCTTGCATTTCACTTGATGTTGTGATGGACTATATTAATTGTACAGATTCTCAAAAGTGGGTTGTTTCTACTTTTCTACTTTGATGATTGTGATAAAGAGAGAAGAAATTCCAAAGGCAGCCACCTCTAGTGGTGTTTATTTCATTGATGGAAGGAAAATATACAATTCCTAGTTTGGACAGGCATAGAATAATATCTATGATCATACTTAATTCATACCCTACTCTAGCCTATAGGTTATTGTATATAATTAACTCAAATGTATTGTACAACTAATAATGTATAAAGAATAGAGCAATTTTGGCCCTTCAATTATTGATAATTAGTCAATATGATGAAGTACATGGAACATGTAGCTTCTTTCTTTCTTTCTTTTTTCTTTTTTTTTTTTTTTTTTTACCTCAACAAAATTATCTCTTTTTTTTTTTCCGAAAACAACAAAATTAACAAAATTATCTTAAACAAGAAAAAAAATAATAATAATAATAATAAAGTAAACAAACACAGACAAAGAGAGTACATAAACCTAACCCTCAAATTTGCAACAAAAATCAACTAATAATAAGATTTCTCTTTACCCTTCTTCTTTCCCTAACTAAACGAGAAAGAAGGCTTATAACGACCCAAGGAAAATAATTCCTTCAGCCCTCATCATCAAAAACTACATTCATCTCATGATCCCTCGATGAATAATCATTTGAAATATCATAAGCCTCCAAGCGCCTCAAACTAGTAATATCTTTAGGCAAAAACTTATGTGACACTGTCTTACGGGTCTCAATACGTGAGACGGATCAAATCTTTAATTAATAATGTCAAAAAGAAGATCTGACCTGTCTCATGGGTCTCACACAAGTGTTACCCATATCTCTATACTCTAACCTCTCACCACTTGCAACATTTGCACTAGTCTTGTCCCTAACCATAACATTGGTCACCGGGAGACAGGTGAGACTAGTTAAAGGAATGATATTATCACCAAAAGATGAGACAATGATAAGAATATTTTCACCACTATCTTGATGTAAATGATGGGTCATAGTCTGCTTAGAGCTACCATCCTTCCTAATCAATTTACTATCAAAGGGGTCTTTAGACATTTTTTAGTCTTAAAAATAAATACTATGCCCACCCAACATAACCACCCATGTATAAGGGTGTCAATGCGAGTCAGCTCGCCCCATCCCGAACCTTTCTTATTAAATATGACTAAATAATCAACAGAGATTAGTTCTTACTTTTCTTTCACCGTTAATAAATTCGTGTATGATACTTCTCAATATATATATATATATATATATATATATATATATATATATATATATATACGCACAATTTTTGGGTGTGTGGGGACTCTCTAAATCATTTCCAACCACTGTCTGTGCGCCACTTACTGCATACAATAATAATGTTTTGGAGTCAAAGCTCTTCCCTTTAAGCTTTGCAGATTTTAGCAATATAAAAATCTTTGATAAAGTCTACCACATTTTTCTTTGTTTTCCTTTTAAAATCTTAAGAGCTAAGTACTAAACTCTGACGTACATCAATAAACTTCCTATAATCAGCCCTCGGGTACTGAAGATTGCCAAATTGGTAATTGTTGGTGTCAACGAAATTCTTTTTTTTTTTTTTTTTATTTATGTCTGGAGATCCCACCATTACCTTAATTCTCCCTTAATGGGTTATCAATATTCTATTGTTTTCGACCAATTTAATCAACTTTAAGTATTAAGTTTTTATTAAATAAATAGATGACAATAAATATATAACTTAAGTTTTTAGTACATAAATATATTCGTCCAAAAATATACTTCCTAAAATCATATATAAAATAAATTGTTATTCCACTGTCAAGCACCTTATGCTCAGATAGCATGTAGTGACTCTTCCATGTTCAAAATGAAGCAAATTTTTTTTAAAAAAAAAAACGCGATTGCAATTTGATAATTTTGTGTAAGTTAGGTAATTTTTTTCAGAGTTCTAGTGCATATTGTCCCTTCATACATAGCACATTGTTGTGCCTTTCAATGTACATTTTTGTGTCTTCAACCTTTAAGATCTCCAGTGCACATTGTCACTTCATCCAGAACACATTGTTGTGCCTTCAACCTTTAAGTTCGTATGTGTGTGTGTGTATATATATATATATATATATATATATATATATATATATATATATATATATATATATATATAGGCTTAGGTTCAGGTGAGATGGCTGTCTTAGGTGAAAAATGCGACGAAATATCCTAGCTATAGATCAACTTTTCTTTTAAAATTTTTTGTCAGATACGCGATATATATATATATATATATATATATATATATATATATATATATTTATATTTATATATTTTTTATTTATTTACGATTATATGAGAACCCTCTCTATATAAGTACATAAGAACTAGGGATTAATTTGAATTTTTTTATCACAGATTCATGTATGATCATAATATTTTTAAATTTGTTGGATTGTTTATTTACATATATTTATGAAAGGGAGAATTAGTAATTTATTGTACATTTAGAATCTTAATATTATTATGTGTCAATGTTATGCATAATTTTAGGAAATATATTTTTGACAGTATTATATTTTCTCCTAGGATTATATTTTTTGTAAGATTGTGTACTTCTAATTCTCCATACATGTGCACTCTAGTATATAACCATGTGTATCTGTATATGTGTGTGTATCTAGAGCATTCTATTTCAAATTAAAGTGCACATTTAATCCAAGTATGTTGGTTGTAGTGTGCACTTAATCAGGCATCGTGTGCATTGTTGGTTTGTTAGTGCGCATGTTATCATTTATGCCAATTCGTTGTCTGTTGTTCTTGTCTTTGAGTCCAGACGTGCATACATGTGCTATTGTTTGTGCAGTTACGTATTGTGCGGGTTTTAAAGATGTGCACTCATGTTTGTTTTGTTTGTGCTCAAATTATGAACTCATTCATTAATGTTCGCAAACCTTAGCTTTAATATTTATTAGATGGATGATTTGAATTTGTTCTCACGTTCTCATATGAGAGAGTGTTCTGGAACCCACCCTTATATAGACTTAGGATCAAGTGAGATCGCACTATTTATATGAGATTGTGAGATCAAATTATAATCATTCATCTAAGAAATATTAATGGCTCAAATTAAATTTAAACTGTAGAAATCAAGAAATTAATGGCACATATTAAATCTATTGACGAAATCAAATCCCACATAATGAGGATAAATAATGGATAAATGGATAATTAAACTAAAAGTGTCAAGTAGCTAGTGGACAAAGTAGTCCATTGTTGTGCACCTTGCATCTTGTAATGTCTAAAGGATGTGTGCATACAAATTTGAAATAGAAGGTTATATATAGATGCGCACACATATATAGTAATACAGATACACATGAATATATACTTAGAGTGCACACGTATGGAATTTGAATTACACAATCTTACAAAAAATATAATTTTAAGAGAAAATATAATATTGTCAAAATATATTGACTCTTTATGCTTCAATAGGTTAAAAAAGTAGTTATAAACAGATACTTATTATACGTTAGTAGTACTCAAAAAAGTATTAAAGATTAAGATTTACCCTTCTTCCAACATTTCATTTAAGTTAAAATTAATTCACAAGGGTGATATAATAATTGGGAAAGAAATTTTTAATTGTATTAAAATTGATTCAACATCTTTTTCATGTTTGTAAGAGTTCTAATTGTGGTTGTCATAAAAATAGTAATAATTTTTACTCCATATTTTTCCCTTGATTTTAGGAACTTTAATTATAGTATAATTGCAGCTTTGGGTAGATTTCAATATTTAACGTTATTTGATTGAAGTTATTTTTAATCTAATTTTTCATAATATATAAAATTTATATATTTAGAAACTATATTAAAAGTACTATTAAACACACAAAAAAAAAAAAAAACAAATTTAAAAATAAGTAAAAAATACTAAAGAAAATAAATAAATAAAAAAAAGTGTTGGTATGACCAATGAATATTAAATA